TGCTTTTAAAATACCCAAGGGCTGTTTTCTCCTCCTCCCTTTGTCATGGCAATATAGTTCCACAGACTATTGTCTATTTCCACAGACACCCTTACACAATATTATACCTTTCTCAGCTTCCCATTAAAGAGGTGAGCATTTGACATTTACACCTAAGTATTTTCTACATATGAAGCCATCTGACCTTTAATAAATACCATCTTTATAAATCCTTCTTTGTTAACCACCATTAGTGCCACCATTTTTTTATCCTTTTAGTCTTGCTTTCAAGCATTTAAAGGAAGAATCATAAGTTGGATACCTTTTCAACAGCACAACTTCCAATTCTAGAAGGTACTCTTAAAAGAGAATTAGGGAGATGGAACCTTTACTAGTTCCATTAGTACTGAACTTGCAAAGAGAAACTCTCTTTAAGTCAAAGTTGTCTCCTTGGGTGCATGGACATTTTGATAAGAATAGTGCAAGGTAATGCAATCCCACTTTAAATTTAGAAGCTGCAAAGTTCACGCTACACTGAAAAGGCAGCAGTGAATGGCATTGCCATGCTTACATTTGAGAAAAGGGCAGGCGCCCAAGTCTTGATCCCAGCAAGCTGTTTAACATTCTATAAGCAATTATAGAATGTGGACACGAAAGTGAAATAAAGGTGTGGGTCTTCCTGCCCTTCAAATCTTTCATTCCCCGACTGAGTGACTATTTATTATTCATAGAGACCATGTGCAGTCTTAGCTTGTCACTTCTATTTCTGGGTTAAATTCCTTACCTGGAGGGCAAAGGACAATACCTGGTTCCTGCCTTCCAAGAACAAATGACACACCAGGTTTGAGCGGTCCAGGGTACAGGGAGTAGATTGCCTACATTTTGTCATTCCTCTTGCTACTAGGGTAATAATTTAGTGAGCTGAAGAATTTACATTTGACCAGAAATTATTGAATTGTTGGAAAAGTCATGACATATTTTTTTTCTATGTTTTTCATTGCAAAAATGCGTCATGACTTTTCCGACAACCCAATAGTTGGGTGCTTATGATGTACAAGGTCTAATAGTGGACACAGAAATGAACCAAACATGATTTCTTCCCTTTATGACGTTACTATTTAGGCACAAAATATATATGTATATTATATATATATATATATAAATTATTTATAGTCTATAAATAATTAGACTATAGAGTAGAAAGTACAAGGGTCTATAGCAAAGTGGCAGAAAAAAATATAGGAGTGTAGAAGAGGGCAAGACTATTATTCTTAGTTATAGGAGGAGAAAAATTTTATGAAAAAAGCTGGTAGTTGGGTAGGTTTTGGAATATGAGTAAATTTTATACATTCAGAAAAAGGAGTGAAAATGTTAGTGGAACAGTGTTATATTGGACCTATATACAGATGATGTATTATAGAATTGTACACCTGACACTTATATAATGTTACTAAACAATGTCATCCCAATAACCTTAATTTTAAAAAAAGGAAACGCTCAGTGGTCAGAGGGAGAGATGGAGTAGATGGATGGATGGAGATGATGGCTCTGAAGTTTCCGGCTTGTTATGGGCTATGTCCCCCAAATAAATAAGTTGAAGTCGTAACTCCTGGTACCTGTAAATGTCACCTTACTAGGAAATAGAATTTGCAGATGTAATTAAGTTAACATGACATCATTAGGGTGGGCCATAAGCTGGTTTTCTTATAAGAAAAGAAGAGACACACAGGGAGGACAGCCATGTGATGATGGAGGCAGAGATGGAAGTGATGCAGCTACAAGCCAAGGTGTGCCAAGATTTTCCAGCTGTCATCAGAAGAGGCAAGAAAAGATCTTCCCTTAGGCAGCAGTTCTCAACCTGTGTCTTGCGACCCCTTTGGGGGTCGAAGGACCCTTTCACAGGGGTCGCATGTGGGCGTATCTGCATGTGGGCCTGGAGACGGATAGAGGAGCGGTGTCTCGGTTGCTAAGACCATCGAAAATATGTGTTTTCAGATCGTCTTAGGCGACCCCTGTGAAAGGTTGAGAACCGCTGCTTTAGAGGTTTCAAGGAGAGCATGACCTTGCTGACACCTTGATTTTGAAAATCTAGCCTTCAGAACTGTGAGATAATACATTTGTGTTATTAGGAAGGACCCTGTTTGTGATAGTTTGTTACAGCAGCCTCAGAAAAAAAAAATACGTAGGCTATAACAGCACCCACGGTGTTGGATCTCTCTGAACTGGGCAGTCAGTGAAGGGAAGCTTTTGTCATAGCCAGCACCATTGCTGTGAGTGTTCTCTGTAAATTGCATATCTTCTCCACAAGCAATAGAGCCCCGTAGTCAGTGTCCCTCTGTTACCTAGCTAGTATTAATTCACTATGGGTTTCAATGAGCTACTACACAAAAGGAATAAACACAAGGTTTTTATCCTCTACTATATAATAAAGCAGTTTCCAAAAGTTAAATTTTTTACATTCAGTTTTCCCATATTCTAATTTGGTTTCGAGGGTAGTTTTGGTAGTATTTTAAGCTATTATCTTTAATCTACTAGAGTAAAAATTATTTTGAAAACTTACAGGAGATTTCTCTTCCAGAAGGAACATTTTTCAGAAAGGAAATTGTTGCAGGATTGAACTGCCAAAGAGAGAGCTGAAAAAAATGGGTCATGCATTCATCCCATTGTGGGACGTAAGCTGCCAAGTGGTTCACTGCTCATTTTTGTCCTCTTCTCGTAAACAGGCTATGTTTACACGTTACTTTTAAAAAGCATACTAATTTCCCCAGTGAATTACACAGGAAAGAATCCAACGTTCACTCCCGAGAACTCTAACAGTTGTTTGTTCTCAGAACTCAGGTGTGGTAAAATAGCTGTGGGCTAAAAATGCACTCTGGATATTGGCCAGTAGGCTAGAGCTTCCCTCCACTCCAGCCCTGATTTCTCACATTGGTGTGCAACTTAGAGCTTGCCTACTGAAGGGGTGGGGAAGGATTCGATTTTCAAATTCAATTTAATTACACAATCTATAGTGCCTAGTGGGAAGGATTTAAGGTCAAGATTAACGCTCAACAGTGCTCCATTTTGCATTCTTTTTTGATCATGAACACTGTATTGATTATCTGAAGTGAGTTTTCAAAAATGTTTTTTAAGGGCCAAATTCTTTTGGTGATAAAGCAATTTAAAGAAGGGGAGGGGGTGACTTCATTTCTTGGCTCTTTGCCAAAATGTAGATAAATTGGAGGTGTAAAATGCCTCTTTGAATTGTATTGCTAATGCATTCTTGAGAGTGGGGAGAACCTCACTCCTTGGCAGAAGAAAGAATAAAAATTCTATTGTAGAATTAGAAATAGTAGCTGGCAGACACTGATTGAATCACAAAACTATCTGCCCTGAGAACGACTGTGTAACTAATATACGTAAGCCCCTAATCTCTCATGTTAAAGTCCAAAGAATTTCATTTTCTAATTGGGATTGGAAACCATTATGATTTTATCTGGCATTAAATCAATGTTTAAGATTATGAGTAAATATTTGATGTTCTATTTTGATGTCCACATCTCTATTAGTTCAACTAAATGTAAAAAAAAAAGGAAAATACAAGAAATGAAAATATGCCCCTAAGAAGTAGCCTTAATACAATTCTTGATCAACTGCTTTTAACTTGTTAATAAAGAAAACTGGTCTCTTTATAAGGAAAAGTATTCCCTATGTGACTTAAATAAATAAAAATGGTAGCAATAAACTTTACTGGGTAACTGTTGTTCAGCCTTCCCAAACCACTTGAGTATATACAAATAATTGAAAATACAATGATAAAGAAACTAAGCTCAAAAGGCAAACAAACTATTTGAAATGGCTAACTGATTTTGCCAACACACAATGACAGCATTTTCAAGTATTAAGATGGTTGGTACTTTGAGTCAACACTTACAATCACATTTAAAAGCAAAATGGTATTTGATAAGCATTAAATTTTGCCTAGTGAATTTGCAGTATAGTATATTAGCCAAGTGACTTAACAATTTTTAAAGCTTGATGAGTTACCGGGCATCTGGCACAGACTAGTTAAAGCTACAACTTAATTTGTGTGGGTGGAATGACAGTGGGACTAGAATTGGAACTTATTTTGAAGCCCATTAGGAGAAGAGTTTGAAAAATGTTCCCTTGACTGGTGTAAATGTAGATTTACCACTCTTCTCCTTGGCAAGGGTGAGTTATAATTTATGTCAGAGGACAGCAACAACAATAAAAAGACATGGGGCTTTGTGGCTGTGAGGGAAACCTGAGCATATTTGCCATAGGCCAGTGTTTGCATTCTCTGAGTCCAGTCGCGCAGGCAGCATTTGGAGAAACTGCAGTGGGACTGGCCTCTGGAAAGAGATGGTGGGGTGGGGCAAGACAGGGTTTGGTGAAGGCCGTCCTTGGTTTATATGTGTGGCTGCATGTCTCAAGCCCCTTCAATAGTTACACAGAGTGACTCCATCTACTGGTAAACATAAAAAATAAATCAGTAAAAAGACTGGATAAGAAAATAGTGAAGCAGACAGGAAGGCACTGGTTAACTGTGGGTAGATATCAAAGACCAGAATGGAAAGTCAACTTGTACATTTCCACTGCTAGGAGTTCAGCTCTTAACTGTTTGGGAGGGAGTGACAGGGAGAATTAGAACTTGGGAAAATCACAGAGGAGAGTCACCTTAGTTAAAGGAGAAGTAGATAAAAGTATCTGTTTGCAGCCATGATGGTATCAATGCACAGGTCAGGATATGCTCAGAGGGATGTGTACACACCAGACCTGGCAGAGTCCCACTCTCCACTGTTTCCCATTCTTGGGGAAGATGGTGTGGTGGGGAGAATGAGGTGGGGGAGACATGAAAGCACGTGATCATCCACATACGACCAATTCGACTCAGAGCCAATGACTTGTACCCAATAGCCAGCAATGCCCTTTCTATATATATATTTTATATTTAACAATGCCTAATTATTAACATTTAAAGCAAAATTCTATGTTATGGTTTATGAGAAGTAAGGAAATACCTGGTCGGTGTTATGTTCCTGGATTTTTTCTCTAGTCACTGAAAGAGAAAGCAAAAAGAAATTTAATATTAAATGGTACAATTGAAGAAAATACAGTACTGGTTTTGCTCTGTTCTCACTGAAGACTCCAATAGCCGTCATGGGCTCTCTAAGCAAAGATTTGTATTACAATATGAACATTTACAATTGGTCCAATAATTGGGATGAAAAAAAAAAGTAAAAACCTAACTAAACCACATTAGACAAAGATAACAGAAAACGAAATGGAAATCTGGGAAGGGTGATACCAGAAGAATGTATTAAACTCTGGCAGAGAAGTGGTGAAGAGATGAAAAGGACCGAAGAAAAATTTGAACAATATCCAATTAAAGGTTTCCAAACAATGACAACCTGTTCAAGTATAATACTACCACTGAGCTCATGCAACCTTGAGGACTAGACAAGGAGATTTAAAGTGGCAGATGGCAGAAGTGCTATTTTAAAAAACTGTTCACTTACGTGTGACTATGATAAAGACATTATTACGCCTTGTTGTTACAGTACTGCCAGAGATTAACTAAAGTACAAGCTAACAGTTCTATAAATGGTATCCTGATCAGGAAAGAAACAAATTAGAGTAACGTATGAAGGCAACATGGGGGAAAATAATAAGGACTCTAAAATAATAAACCTTAGTCATTGTAATAATAGCATGAAAGTGATCAATGTGATGCATGTCTTAAATAGAAGGAAAATAATCCTTAGTAATAACAAATAGCCAACAAACCACCAGGAAAGAGAGAAAAGAAGACATTTTGTGGCATTGCAGTTATGATATGCTTGTGGACATCTTGGTGTGAGATATACATTTTATTAAACATGTCCTTATAAAATTTTCATTAAGATAATTGTGCAGTTACATGCATTTGTAAGAACTAGCACAGACAGATCCTGTGTACCCTTGACCCAGTTTCCCCCAATGGTAACACCTGGAAGGTCTATAGCACAGCACCACTACAAGGATACTGACATTGACAGTCAAGGTAGAGCATTACCATTGCCACAGGGTCCCTCACAGCTTCCTTTTATAGCCACAGCCACTTCCTACCCACCCCCACATTTTAAGTCAGCTGCTTTTGGCTCTGGTGCCCTAGTAAAAGGAAATGGTTCATGGGTTAAAAACCATTCGATGGACCATATTAGAGCATGAGGTTGACTACAGGTGAATTCTGGACCATACAGAATACTTTGTTTTGTGCTAGCAGTCATTTTTACAATGTATTAGGTCCCAATTGATTTTCCAAGAATTTTAGTATCCTAGTAACTGATTATGTCAAAGGTTTTTCTTCTCTTCTAGTTCATCCTATCAACACCTGTAGTATCCTAGTTCTGTATTAGGAACACAATAAATGTTTAAAATTGTGGGAATTGAAGTGGAAGACTGAGAGTTAATTCTAGATGATTTATAACATCATGTTTTACACTTTTCCTGAAGATCAGTACTATTTTAATTGTGCTTTTAGTGTGAATCTACCCAAATTTCTACCATTTTCTTTTGCTAAACTGATATTTAATAAAATAAGGTTGTTTAGCATAGCTACAGTGAATACATAGGCTTCTTTTTAACTGCATTGTGTATTATCTGTAGTTAGGGGCCTGGGGAGATTGATGGCAGGCAGGACAGCACCAGGGCAGGCAGGACAGCACCAGGGCAGGCATCACCTGAGAGCCTCAGTGACAAGTAGGAACCCAAGACAAAAACCTGGGCTGTGTCTTGGAATGACAAGACAAACCGGATACAAGTTTTCTTGGCAAAAGGTCCGAGTGAGCCCAGGATTCGTGGCACCTGTCTAAACAAGGAAGAGGCAGGTGACTGTTAGTGGTGCACATAGCAGGAAATATGTCCATGTTTTGGAGGGATTTAGGCACCAGGTTGTACACAACTCAGGGAACAAGGTATGAGCCATGCTGGGGGTTTGAGGGGTAAGGCAAAGGGCTGACTGAGAAAGCAACAAGGGGTTTTCCAGTTACTGAGGTAAGACAACTGGTTCATCACGGGAACTCGGGAGCCAGATAGACCATTTCTGTGAGTTACTGCTATTTAAATATGAGAAAAATTATCTCCTCCCTTGAGCTCTTAAAACTCTCATAAATTGAAATACATAATTATATAATGATTTTGTGGCCCTAATGGTTATGATTGCTTCTAATGATAATTTTTTTTCTCTTGCTTATGGATAGTCGTAGCCTGGTAGAGATATAAATATTCCCTGGACGATGCAAGAAAAAAGGAGGGAATCCCACTTCAGGAAAATCTAAGTCATCCCCAAATTTATTCAAATCACACTTGAAAAAGAGGAATGGAATTTAGGGGATAAATTTTAACTGCATAAGGCATTGCTAATAAAAGATTAAGAAGTATGTGGTTTAGCATCTTTTAATTATTTTTTTTTAGCATCTTGAATATACAATGTTTCAAATCTCTGGTTGGATCAACATTATTTTGCTCAGAGGTTTGTGGACTTTGCATACTGATTCTTTCCTGTTTCCAAGTACATTTGCTTTTAGGCTATTTTTATTCACTTTAAAGGAATTTTAATAACTTTCTGTTGACAGCATGGACAGCTGGTCTTGAGAATTAAAGAAAATTCACTTGCTGACTGAGGAAGGAAGTGACATCAATGAGCTTCTAAAGTCAGCCCAGAGGGGGAAATTGGCTTGTGAGAGAGTAGCCTTTCATTGCACTGTATTTATCGAGCGATGCCTTGAGATGCAAATTGCTGTATCAATCAAACCTATGGTGCCTACCTCCAACCAACTTAGTGCGAACTGAAGGAACAATGCCCTGAAACACTGAGAAGAAAAAGGATGAGAAGTATAGGAACCTAGGGGCTACGTGAATTATGGGAGCTCAGGATCCCCTCTTTCTGTGCTGATACTTCATTCACTGTCAAGCCTCAGTTTCTTTGTCTAGAAAATGAGTTTGATATAAACTGTTGATTGAAGTCAGTCTTTTTCTGTGACAAATGGCTAATAAGAACATATACTAATATATATATATATATATATATATATATATATATATATATATATATGCAGACATGTTATCTTGCTACTTTGTCCCAAAGAGAGCTATCAATTGTTGTTTATCCCCACTGAGAGCCATCTAGAAACAGGAATCTTTAGGTGTCATATGTAGCTACTCCCTTGATCTTTTGAGATTTTTAAAATTGATATTCATTATTTATAACTCTAGTGCAGAAAAAGTCAAGCACCAAATCTGGACTTCAGATAATAATGACAATAGTAATACCAATTATTGTCATCATAATGAGTGATCAGAACATTTCCCTCTGGAGCTGCAGTATCCATTTTTCAACGATAACTGTGGTGCTAGTGCTTGAGTGTGTCTGTGTGGATTGTGGATTGTGAGCATGCAGGTATATGTGTAGAAATACACACACCTGTGTGAGAAAGGAAGGAAAGTACCTACATACATTTTATGGTTAACAGTTGAAAAATTAAAGTGCTGATTATTTATTTTTTAGCTCATTCCAGAAAGTTTGAAGTGGCTAGAGTGATGGTTCAATCACAGTTACATAATTTGAGTTTGAGTTAACAATCTAGAGTCAAATGAAATTTAATTCAGCCCAAGAGATAGATGTATTAATGCTGTATTCTTTTCCTTATCTACAAAAACATTTGGGGTATTCAATTAAATTTTCCAATTTTATGAACTTAAATATGTAACTTGAACCACTCAAAAAATACTGGTGAAGTAAAAAAGAATGGATGAGGTCTCAAAAGCTATAGTCTTTAGGCCAAAGGATTTTCAGATTGTCCCCAAGCCTGGATATGTGTTGACTTTAGCAAAGCTCACTTTTTTGATCTATTACATAAAAATATTTTAATGCACATTTATTCTGGACAATTTGCTAGGTGCTCTGGATATACAGAGGTAAAGCAGAGAAAACATGATGAGCACACAAAAAAGTATCAACATGAAATCATGAAGCCATAAGGAGTTTATTGGTAAATTGTATAGTTAAGTCAAAAGGTATTTAAATTTTGATATAGTAGAGATGAAAATATAGGTGGTAAACTCTTTGACATAGGTGTTAGAGATGATTATTTTTTGGCTCTGACATCAAAAGCAAAGACAACAAGCAAAATTAAATAACTGAGATGACATCGAACTAAAAAGCTTCTGCACAGCAAAGGAAACCATCAAAAAAATAAAAAGTCAACCTATGAAATAGAAGCAAATATTTGCAAGTTATATATCTGATAAGGGGTTATTACCCAAAAAATATAAAAAACTCATATGACTCCATAACAAAACCCAAACAATCTGATTTTAAAATGGCAGGAGATCTGAATAGATATTTTCCCAAAGAAGACATACAGATGATGAACAGATACATGAAAAGATGCTCAACATCATTAATCATCAGCAAAATGCAAATCAAAATCACAATGAGATACCACCTCTCACTTGTTAGAATGACTAGACAAGGAATATCAAGTGTCTGTGAGAATGTGGAAAAAAGGGAACCCTGTGCACTGTTGGTGGGATTGTAAATTGGTGCAGCCACTACAGAAAACAGTGTAGCGGTTCCTCAAAAAATTGAAAATAGAACTACCATATGATCCAACAATTCCACTACTGGATACCTATCTGAAGAAAAAAACACCATTAACTCAAAAAGATATATGCACCCCTATGTTCATTACAGAATGATTTCTAATAGCCAAGATATGGAAACAACCTAAGTGTCTATCAATGAATGAGTAAAAAAATGTAGACTACATATACAATGGAATATTATGCAGCCACGAAAAAGAATGAGATCTTGCCATTTGTGACAACATAGATCGACCTTTAGGGCATTATGCTAAGTGAAATAAGTCAGACAGAGAAAGACAAGTACTGTATGATCTTACTTATATGTGGAATCTAAAAAATAAACACCCCTAAACCATGCTCATAGATACAGAGAACAGACTGGCAGTTGCCAGAGGCAGTGGGGAGTAGAGGAAATGAAATGGATGAAGGGGG